CTGTCGTAGTGCCTCTGTCGCAGTGCCTCTATCGTTGTGCCTCTGTCGTAGTGCCTCTGTCTCAGTGCCTCTATCGTTGTGCCTCTGTCGCAGTGCCTCTGTCGCTGTGCCTCTATCGGAGTGCCTCTGTCGCTGTGCCTCTATCGGAGTGCCTATGTCGCTGTGCCTCCGTCGCAGTGCCTCTGTCGCTGTGTCTCTATCGCAGTGCCTCTGTCGCTGTGCCTATCCTAACAGATGATTGCATAGAGAATCAAACATTACTTGAAATATATTTTTAACTATTCTTTTTAGTAATTTGATTAAAATCATAACATCATGAATACATTAAATATGTTTTAAAATCAAATTAACATTCACAGCTTTTTCTTTATAGGAATTTATACGTTAAATTAGACATGTACATAAAGCTAAATACTGTGTCTATATTTACCATTGTTCATTTTGAGTAATAATTTTACCGAAAGCTAAATACTGTGTCTATATTTAATTGTTCATTCTGAGTAATAATTTTACCGAAATAGTACATTGCAATCAATAACTATACATTTCATGAACAACAGATACTTTTAGAACTAAAAAAGTCTACAAAATGCATGTATATTTCCCCTTTAGATAACAATATGACTCCGGCACGCGGATACTGAAAATATAGATAAACATACACTTAAAGACAATGATATCTATTTATATTCTATCTGGTAAACAGACTGCTGAACATTGGATACGATATCATTCATCTTTATAAACTATATATAATGGTATCCATTATGTATTATTTTTCTATACGTACAATTCTACTGTTAACTAGCGCATACTTTTCGAATGAAATGAACCCGGAGAAAAGCTATATTGCCACAAGGTACTCCAAATATCTTCTCTCGTTTGGTGGAAGAATCGAACGCTGGTCCTTCAAGAAAGTCGATTGTGTTATAGAAGATATCAAAGTATTGAATTTATATATAATGTGTGTTGTGTCATTGACATAAAGGATGGATTTATTTCTATTCTCATGTTTCTTTCTTGTCGACTGACGGAGGTCGTTATCAAACGAGTTAAAAATCAAAGTTATCCAATTATTGTACATGGAAAATAAAGAGCAAATACACGAGTTCGTTTAATACGTAAGAAATGCTAGCTGAAGACGACATTTTGTATTAATCTTAATTATCTTTAATGAATTACATGTGTTTAATGTTCGTGGTTCAAATATTTTTTAACTGTCATGCCGCACGGTTTAACCAGGTAAATGAAGTCGAATTTGAACTACATTTTTAGTTCCGTCAGGGGAGATCACTCACATGTTCTCAAAACATTACCTATAATAAAACTTATAATATCCTATGATATGAATATAAAAACTGAAAAGTATTAAATTCAAGTACAAAGCCTTTACGTTGTGTCATTGAAATTATATAAAGATTGGATTTCACTTCCTTTTGGAATGTTCATTTCGAAGGTCGTACATAAAATATCAGTCACCTGATCGAGTAGAAGTTAAAGTTATCAAATTATTGTACACTGCAAATAAAAAGGAAATACGTAATGTGGTCAAATAATAATTGTTAGCACGTGTTATAAGTATGAATTGCTTTGTTATTAGAATGTTTTTGTAAGTAGTTTATATATATCTACTGTAGTACTTTTAGTACGTGTTATCGGCGCAAAAGTTGTACACGTGAATGTGTCCGTTATGTTGTACTTAGGAGTTGTGTTGTACACGTGCGTGTGTCTGTTGTTATGTTGTACTAATGTTTGTGTTGTACACGTGCATGTGTCTGTTGTTATGTTGTACTAAGGATTTGTGTTGTACAAGTGCATGTGTCTGTTGTTATGTTGTACTAATGTTTGTGTTGTACACGTGCGTGAGTCTGTTGTTATGTTGTACTTTGGATTTGTGTTGTACACGTGCATGTATCTGTTGTTATGCTGTACTTAAGATTAGTGTTAACTTGTATACTACCACACACAATGACAGGTTTCCTTACAACATTCCGACTGTATACATACAGAATTAAGTACCCTGTACCTTCAGAAAAACCATTTACAGACTGTGGCACATTAACATTCAGTATGTGAAATTAGATATTTCGTCATTACGCTACCCAATGTATAACCAAATTAAACTCAGAAATAGCAATAACAATTATTGTTCAATGGTGAATGGACGACGGACCTAGGGCAATTTGAATAGACGGTTGGCTAAAATGTCACTATATAGAATTCTCTTGTTCAAGAGCTCTAGTACTTAACGAGAGAAGTAAAAATAAATGATTCCAACATCGTACTAGCCGTATGTTCTTATTGAAAGCAAACAGATAACACAAGCTTTTGACACTCTCAAAGGCCAATTATTTAATTGCTTCAAGTAGTACAACAAAACTAAAAAAAAAAAAAAATATGAAAAAAAAAAAAATGATAACATCCATGAATATTACGTTATGGATACTTATCTTAAAGATCGAAATCAAATAAATCTAAATACTCACATGAGTAACATGTAAATCAAAACACCCTGTTGTCACTAACCCAGAAACATTTTAACCAATGAAACACTTTTTATAACACCAAATTATATATTTTTTAAAAACATTTTGATTTCAACAATATTTTGAACTATTAAGATTAAATTCATTATCTAATATCCTTTAGTGAACAAATCACTTTTATAACATTTAGTTATTTATATATGATCAATTAAGTAATAACGACAGTACGGACAAGTGAGTTGTCAAATTTTCAAGGCAACCTGCCCCTTTATCAAGACAAAAACATTACACAAATTAATCACATACATAGAACATAAAACAAATAGAAAGTTAAAAAGTTTAATCGAGAGCGGTGGTGTAATTTTAGATGTTCCGATAACCCCTTTGGCCGATAGATGCCTAAGGCCCTTTATAAGGGACAAAATCCACTCTAAGTTGTAAGGAAGATGGTGATTAAAATATCAAAAATGTTTTATATCAATCTTGGTATGTCTTGCACTGTAGACACTGAGCATACATGTGATTGCAACGAAAACAATCGCATGTCACACTCGGAGGAAAGTTGTCTACCGGTACATCTCAGCCACACTCTAAAGAAAGGAATTGTTTGATTAGAAAAAAGTATTGTAAAAAGAATAATGAATATTTGTGTAGTTACAATAAAGTAATTTTATATAAATCACCAACCAGTGAACCATATATATATAAAGATTTTATTTCTCCGGCGGTTAACTGATTATTTACATTGTTGTGTCACTACACTCAATATAAATATACAATACAGAAAAGTCTACACAATATTTATCTCTAATGTTAGGTTGATATTGAAAAAGAAAATAAACTACTATTGTATAGAATATGTCATCAGATCCAAGTGGAAAATTATGTAAATAATGTACAGTAATCTATAGGGAATCAAAGTTTGACGGATCACAGGTATGGTCCGGATCACAGGTATGGTCCGGGTCACAGGAATGGTCCGGATCGCCGGTATGGTCATGGTCACTGGTACGGTCCGGATTACAGGTATGATCCGCATCACAGGTATGGTCCGGGTCACAGGAATGGTCCGGATCGCCGGTATGGTCCCGGTCACAGGTATGGTCCGGATCGCTGGTATGATCGCCGGTATGGTCCCGCTTTGCTTTTGGGAAGTTGCATGAATCCCAGTTATATTTCCTGGTATGTCATGTTTCAAATTACAATATGACAAAATAACATGTCAACTCTATTCTCTAAATGTATGATTACCCATATGTATATATTACAACACGACATCATAAGAATCTATCATACATGTAACATACAATGTTCAGGTCAAGTATAATACAACTGACTTTTCATTTACTTATCACTGATTCTTACAACTGTTCTTCTCTAACAATTGTTCTGCTTACTTTGGTCTTCCACCCTGTAAACACCTTGTTTCATCGTCATTTATCCCAGTAGGTTCTCGTACACAAATCATTTTCAGATTAATGAACTGTATATAAATCTTTCATCTCTGCTGGTTATATTGATGGGAAACTCACAAAGTGATGTGATTATCATGTCAGGTTGTATGGTGGGAGACTTACAATCTATGTGTAAAATCTCGGTCAGTTGAATATTAGCTTTAAATATTTGGCAGGCATATAAAGATCATGTTAAGGTCATGGTTATTTGAATATTTTGTAAAACATTGAAATGAACAACCTCAGATATAGTGTGGATTATATCAATGCACTAAATTATCAATTAATATTTCACATTTAGAGATTGTTTATGTTTTCTGTGCCTATCAACATGTACACATAACAAGCACTGACTTTCATAAAACATTTAAATAACCTTACAGACATCTTTTAAACAGCGACTTAATCACTTGATTAGCCATATTATGCAAGAAGAGGAATATGACATCACATGGGCGTCATTCTTGTTGCCATGACGACTAAATGGTTCCAAGATCAAATGCTTAAATTAATATCTTTATTAGGTATATTATGCAGCATTTTGTATGTAGATGTCATAGATTTTACTTTAAACCATGTTTACTTTAAATTTAGGAATGTAAGCAAACAGCACGCATTTCCACAGGAGTCCAAATCTATCATTGTCATGTGTTTTCATAATGATATGAAAAAATTGGGGTTGGTAGGCTCTATCTCAAGACTATACAACACAAGAGAAAATATTACATTATTGGTATAAAGATACTGAACATACAACTAATTCCCTATTTAGAAATCTCTCATCAGACTTTTCCTACCTGTCATGCTTGAATGTTCAATCCATACATGGAAAGTCGCATATTATTTGGAATACACGGATATTCAATGTCCATTGATGTTTGAAAAGTCTACCTTCCTCAGCTGGTGATTACTTATATGATGTCCGATTAACTATACATTGTACACATACATATAACCTATGATTTTGATTTAATCATAAGTTAGAAACATTTGAAACAACAATAACATATCACATTTTGTACATTTAAGTGAACAATTACGATAAAAAATATTCATTTTAAAGTACGAGCTATTACATAGCTGGGTGTCTATGAAAATGTACTACATTGTATATATATATACTACATTGTATATATACAAATGAAAGGCCTGTGGCCCTAATGACCATTTGTCAAATAAGATCCATAAATAACTAATAATAGCAGCAGTGCTAGTGGAAAGAATTATTAAATGATTAAAAACAAAACCTGAATTTTAGTAGTTAACGTTGCAAAACAATAGCACATTCTTAATTTCATCTTTGTAACCTTCCCACAAAATTTTAGCTCAATGGCACCAAAGGAACTTGATATATTTTAAAAAGCCTTTTACGAGATGGTGGCCATGATGACCCTACTGAATTTCTGACAGACCCAGAAAAATAATAGCACTCAGTCAGACCAGTTTGATTTAAATCCCATTGAGGAAACTTCGGACTTAAAAATTGGTCTGACTGTTCTTGAAAACCATGATTGTGCAACCATATTACTGTGGAACTGGACAGGTAGTTTAAAGTAAGTTTTCTGGCTGTCTCCAAAAATAACCACACTTTGTCAAGATCATCCCCATTTTAGGTACAGTATGTATGTATCAGCTTAATCCCACTGGTGGCACTTGTGAAGCGTTTTCCACAGATACTCTGCTTCCCTCTCACAATAAGATTCCTCATATGCTTCCATTCAGGCCAACAGTGATTAATATAAGCTATAAGTTTGTTTTGCAATTATTACAAAATAAATAAAGTTGATATCACATTGTCCTTGCTTACTGTTCCTTTTGTATGTCTGCTTCTGTCACGCCTTTCACAGCTAACTCTTCTGACACCCGTTCAAGGTACTCTGGATCTGGGTAGCCATATCTAAAATAAGATCATTTCAATGACTTTGAATTTAAGTTACAAAAGAAACAGATAAAATGTTCTTTCTGCTATAGTTTTGAGATTACACATCAAGTGAAAATGAAACATTACTACTTACGACTATAAATATATCATACAGCTTTCCATAACTTTTCATTATGAAAAGCTTTCAACAAGGGTCATCAGAAACAGGTAATGCTTCTCAATTGGGACAAAATTAAAGGATGAAAAAAACCAAAGGGTAAAAAGAGAGTTATTGAAAGATATTGCAGAACAACTTTTCTTCAAGTCTTGATTCCAATTGTAGAAAACAAATAATTAAAGTCTCAATTTCAATTGCTGCAAATAACAAACTGTTAAATCAGGGTTGAATTTTTATTAATTTTGTGAGTACTCCAAAATTATAATCTATTGAAAAACCACAAAATTTGAGCCTCAAGAACACATATGTTTTACAGTATATATTTACTGTTGTTGGCCACCGGTTTTATTTGTTTTGTGATGGATGTCATTCCATGTGACTACATTTTCTTCCCCAGTTGTCCTTGAGTGCCCTATCGTGAAGGTCAGTCGTCTCTTGAAGGCGATTTTCAACATCGCAAGCACTGCTCTTCCTTTAGGGTTGTCAGGAAGGTAAGCTCCCCTGCTAGTACCTTTATAACGAACGCCTGGATTTGGGTGGTCATTCTACAAAAGATTTCAGTAAACGCGGTAACATGAAAGGCATCATTTCCATCTGTATTGTTTTCCTTTTTTTAATTAAAACAGTGAACAAAACAAAAAAAGGGAGAGTGTCATGTATATATGTATAAAGATATGGTTAGAATGACACATTATGCTTATAATTTTACCTTGTTAATTGACGTCAAACTTTTGTATATATAAATTCTATCAGAAAGTAAACACTGGTGTCAAAGGCACTTAGACTTGTATACCTGAACAATGACAACCATAAATCAACTGTCTTTAAATTTCAGATATCTGAATATATGTCCCAAGAGATAAACATCAAATACGTCTTCCTTTAAAATATATCTCGATCATAGCAATCACTGTAGTTACATAATATAACAGCAAACCTTTTCCTAAATGTAACACATGTATTAGATTACTAATATATAGTACACCATATGCTTGACTGGACAACTTGAAAAATTGATAATTTCTGCTATCTTAAGATCTTTATTCCTGCTATTCAAGTCTGACCATTCTAACCTTAAGTCCTACCATTGAGTGTTAAGTTATTCTTTCTGGATAATGCTTACTTTATACATATCACTGATTAAAGAAAAACATTTTTACAAAAAAGGGGTAATGCCACAGATTGACTATATAACCCTACTCACAAACACACAAAAAAAGTAATATAAAATGATCATGAATTCCATAAAAGTCATCCAAATTAAACAAAACAGAAATCCGAATCTCCAAACTTTCACTAGCAGTGTAGATACAATAATTGACCTATAATACATAGATCATTGACTGTCCCCCTTATAGGGGAAACATAAAACTGATTACACAAGTAGGCATCCAACATTAATTTCACCAAAAATAAAGAACAGCTGCTCCCCAAGAATTTGAGGTATATACATGCATACATAATTTTATACATACCTGGTAATCCTTCTGATTAAAGAATTAGGATTGATAAGGATTTATTAGGATTGCTGATGGACGCAGGCTTAAAGCCTCTCTTTCCTTATCAGATACATTAAGAAAAAATATATCGGGTAATAAAAATGTCCATTACTTCAAACGTAAAATTTTAAGTAGTTAATTGTTCATTTTTACCTTTATCAGTTTTCAAATGTCAATCTAACAAGATATCAATCTACTGTTGTAAACTATTCCAAACATCCAATACTCCATCACTGAAAAAGTGTTTTCTTCCAGCTAGAGAGCAATGCTTTTTCTTGTCCTGTTGATATCGAAAAAGAGAAGAAGGTGTAGAAACAGATACTGTTAGCTTTCCTAGTAACGATCAATGAGAATAACAAAAGAACATACCTCTTGTATACCATCAGGAAAGCTGTATAAGATGTAAATAAATTGCTTGTCACCTTCAAACCCAGGCAAAGAGCCTTTTCTAACCTCCGTGTTCATTTTCCCATTGCGAGGTTGATTTCCAATAATGACCCCATATATGGCACCACAAGTAGGACAGACTGGTTTATGTGTAAATTGGGCATCAATACACTCTGGGTGAAAAGAATGGTTACATTTTGGAAGAGTTTTCACATTGTCACTTGTGACAGTGTCCATGCATATCACACAATCTTCATATATCCTTGGTTTCTCTTTGATTATATCCGCGTCAGACTGACTTTTGTCATCAGTCATCTTGAACATGTCACTCTCTTCCAAGTGTGTTTGCTGCTCATTCTGGTGAACAAAGCTTGGTGTCCGCTCAAATTGATGGTGGTCATCTGATTTCCATGCAGATCGGTGATAATCATCCAAACAGTCCTGTTTCAACTGATGTAATGACTGGACTAGACGTTGAGCACTGCCTGGGAAAACTTTGGGCTTAAATGAGGTTTGGATGCATGCTTTCCCAGCTTTCACATGACCCTCAAACATTTCTACTATAGCTTTTGTGACGTTTGGATCATGATTCACAAAGTGTATATCTTTAAGACTGTTGGTTGGTTGTGAAGTCTGGGCAAACTTCAAAATGGACTCCATAATAACTTTGGCAATATTTCTAGCCTTGTTGATGTCACTTCCTGGTCAACAAATACATACAAAAGGCATTAAGTAAATCTGTGTGCTTTATAATTTACCTTATCTACTTAGTTTGCAAAGTTAATAAAGATTTAAGACGATGAAAATGATTCCTAGAATTTTAGAAAACTGGTATCTGAATGCTGATTAAAGTACTAGTTTTGAACTTAAGAATTAGCTGCAATTGTTATGTCTAATAATATTTGATAACCATCTTCATTTTCAATAAACCAAAAATAAAAAAAAAAAAAAAAAAACAAAAAAACCTCAAAAAACTGAGTATTATTTTAGCAATACATATTCCCTACTGGTCTCCAAAAGCTCTAAAACTAGAATGATTTATAAAGATGGTGCTGTTCGCTATTAATTTGTACACAATTTCTTTAAACTGATTTAATGTAACTAAGTATAAATTAGTGCCATGACAATCTGACAACACCTCTTCAATCATCACTGTGTAATACTATTGTTATATGATGGAGTGCTGACAATGAATTTCTAAAAATAGTAATGGTGACCTTGACCTTGACCCATCAACTCTGAATCTCAAAGTTGTCAAAGATATTTTGATGCTTAATAAATATGTGAAGTTTATTGAAAATCCGTAAAGGAATGAAGTCAGTTGAGCAGACAAATGATTTTCCTAAAAAAAAGTGACAATGACATTTACGTAGATCCAACAAACTCTATTTTCAGATATCTAAATGTGTGATATGTGTTTGAAGTTTGATAAGAATCTTTTGAGGATTTTGTCAACTTAAACTAATAATTCTAATTCTAGTTTGAACTACTTCCAATGCTGGAATTTGAGAAGGAGATTTTAGAAGTTTCAATCAATTTGACCCTTTTTGGTCCCGCCCTCAGGCCTCTGGGTGTTTGAGTCCATATAATTTACAATTTTGGTGCATTTTTAGCCATGGAAATTTTTCGTAAAATTTTATTGAATTGGTCCATGGGTTTTCCAGAATAAGTTGGAAATGTTAAAAGTTTACGATGCAGGAAGCCGGACAAAGGGGATCTAAAAAGTGGAAGCCATGCATCTTTTCATAATTATCCAATTAAATCAGAGGCAGCTACACCTAGAACCTAATCAGATGCAGTAGATGTATTTAATATTTCAACAGCTAACCTGAAATGCAGCCTTCAAGGTTACAGTCTCAATGAATTTTCTGTCTACCTGGTATTTCAAATTAAATAAGGTTAGGAAAGAGTTTTAGCAATGGGGTTATGCATAATTCATATGTTTTATTGTGTTTCTAAGAAAAAGCGTGAAATTCTTAACATGGCCATTCCCAACCCCCAACCCCGCCTAAATGAAACAGATTTGAGAACAAGATTCATTTAGTATTTAGAGATAGTGTTGACAAAATCAATAGAAATGTGAAAGGTAAAGTAGTCTTCAGGTAATCAGTTATTTTGCTTCTTTTAATCGACCTATCTAAACTTAAAATAGACCAGGCATGGACCCAGGAATCAACAAGTTTCGTCCAGATTCTTTTACTAACTTCTGCTATGCCTGATATTTTAGTTAGCAAAATTGACAAACTTTAGGTAAAATGTCAATTAGTTATAAATTAAGCATCTAGCAAAAAGGAATTGGGAGAGAAGGATAGAATTTTAGTATGTTTTCCTTCAGCTGACAGCTAAGCAAAGAATTTTGATGTAGTATATATCTCACCTGTTCCAAGCACAGGAAGGGCGATCGAGCGCAGGCCCAGTTCAGTTGCTTTCGTAAATACGTTCAGTGCACATGAATGGATTTCTTTCTTGCATTTGCTAAGTGAATCAGTAGACAAACTGGGACAAATCACCATAAGCAGAATACCAGCATCAAAACCAGTGATTGGTACATGAAACATTTCTCCATATTTCTTCTTGTAATTCTTTTTAATTTTACTCATTTCCATGGAAAACTTTACTCCAGAAAGCTCTCCTTCCTTGATTCGTGTAGCTATTCTGCTATTGCTGTGTAATTGTTTGTCTTGACCACAAACAATTGCATCAACCCTTGTTGCCAATATGTCGCATGTATACACATGTACTCTTGTTTCAGATGTTAAATGGAATGTTTCCTCATCTATACCACGCCTGTTGCTGAATTCCCTATAAGGGTATAAAGGTTTGGCCTTTGGTCTTGCTCCCTTTGTGGTAAAGTCATCATTTCCTTCATCTATAAAAGGTGTTGAAGGAACATTATGTCCACTGATTTGCCGTGTAGGTAGGTTTGGTTGATGGCCAGTCAATTGCTGAGGATTGAGGTTTGCACTTTCAAGTAAACTATCAAATTCATTCTCAATTTCTTGCACAATCACAGCATTCTTATCAACAAAGTGAACTTCTTTCACAAAATGTTGAGTTTTCTGTTGTAATTTTGACCAGGCCCTTTTCAACCCCAAGCGATATTGCACCACACATAATGCAGGTGGCATCGAAAATATTCCTGAAATAAACAAATAACATTACAATAAACAAACTATATATTTACTTAAAGATTACCACCAATATTTTATATATGATTTATACAAACCCCCTGATGTGAAGTCGCTGTATTAACTACACAGCTTTATCACTTATTGAGAGAGTACAACCCCTTATTTCTTATACTGAGTATGTCTACTGTATCATGGCCAATCCCAATCAATGTAACAAATATATCAAAAAGGGACTGCATAGCAGTTTTAAGAATACAAAATGTTTCAAACTGGATCTATACAAATAATTAACATATCTTCACATTCACAACCGAAGATGAAATTCACAATGTTTTTAACTATTTACAATGAAGCTTGTGAATAAGGTTCTTATTGAGAGATCTTATAAAGTTCTGGTATGTACAGTCCGTTTAAGATAAATTCTGATATACACTTTGTTTACTTTCTTTTATCAAGCCTGAACATATCAAATAAAATGTGATGTAAATGAAAATAATGCATCAGTTTTGTAAGGAGAGTATTACATAAAGTTACAAATTAAGAACAGAGACACCACAACAGCCATTAGGTAGATGACTTTATAATTTAAAAAATTTGTTTTATTTTTGCTTAACATCCTATTAACAGCCAAGGTCATTGAAGGACATGTCAAGTTTGGGTTGTTGAGGAAAGCTTGAGTTCCCAGAGAAAAACCACTGACCTATGGCCAGTACCTGGTCTCTACCCTATATAGACCACATACCCATGACTCGGAGGTGGGAGAAGTGATAAGGGTGGTCAGATGCCTTAACCATTCAGCCAATGTAGGTCCCCCATTTAAATGTATAAATGTGTTGGTTAAAACTGCAATTGAAAAACAAGTATCCTATCCATAATCACTGCCTTGTCTGATGACATAATTGTCATCCATCTAAAAAAATGTTTGTTTCAACTCTTATCAAACATGTTTTTAATTTTCTGGTATTAGTATCTAAGGTCACTTTCCTTACCTGCACTGATAGCTGGGATCGCAACGGATTCTAACTCCAAGACATCAGCTTCCAGTATACTTGACATTACAGCATCCTGGAGTTTTTGTTCACATTCAGACTGCTTTTTTGAATCCCAGTGTGGTCCCACAGCATGAATGATATACTTGTAATGTTTCAGGTTACCTGCTGAGGTGTGACAAGATGTTCCTACTTTAACTTTCCCATTTTTTCGTACATATTCTGTCGATTCACGCTGAATGTTTGCAGCGTTGGATATTGCGTTTGCAACTCCTCCACCATGATCCAAATGCTCATTTGCAGCGTTCACGATACCATCAACTTTCAGACCCAGGATGTCTCCACTGTATACCAGAACCTCCATATTGTCCCCTAAATGATAAAGCCTGGCACTTGGTGGGGGTGGTAGTACTAGTATGGGTTCTTTTGTGCGGAAAGATGAAAACCCACAATCAAAATTCCTGGTTCGTCTACTGTTTGCCATGCCTATGGACTCCAAGACCTTGTATTTCATTGTCTGAACCTTGTTCCGATCAAGCCCAATAAGATTGATCACTTTCATGGTCTCTTCCTGTGGTATGCTGATATATACATCATACTGACTATCTGAAAGAGTTCTGAGGATCTCCTTCACACTTCCCATTTTGAAATGTCGGCCCTCCACATCAATTTGGACACAGACTGTATCACATTTCATTTGGGTAAGTTTCTTTTTGAAATCCAAGCAAAACTCTTTGCTTCCAGAGAAATATAATGTTGTGTCAACTTCAGAGTAACGCATACTCTTCAAACCCTTCTGGTAATGTTTGTAACTTGGATTTGTCTGCAAGAAAACTGAGAATGCATTGTAAACATCCACGTTGATTCCATCAACATAACCCTCTTCTGAAGGGAGGTTGATTTTTACAGAACCTTTCTTTTGTCTCATGTCCATGGAGTTGATAAACTCATTGGCAGCTTCAATCTGAGGGAAATTTCCAACCAGCTGACACATACCAGACATATCTACTTCCACTGTGGCTCCACTGTTCTCTTGTATCTCACATTTGTAGGGTAAAAATTTGGGGTCCATAAATGCATGAACGTTGAATAAACCCTGCAAGATTTAATTATCAAATTAGCAGATGTATTAATACTATTATCAATCTCAAATATCTGTATATCCAAACTGGAATTCAGAAAATGAATTATTCACTGTTTTACAAAAAAATAATAAATAGGAAGATGCCTTAAATCAATCATGAAGCAAACAGAAAATTAACAAAACTTCAAGCAAAGATGAATCCTGTTGAAATATTTTAGACAATTGTTGTTGTAAGCAGGTGAGTCTAGCAAACAGAAAATTAACAAAACTTCAAGCAAAGATGAATCCTGTTGAAATATTTTAGACAATTGTTGATGTAAGCAGGTGAGTCTAGCAAACAGAAAATTAACAAAACTTCAAGCAAAGATGAATCCTGTTGAAATATTTTAGACAATTGTTGATGTAAGCAGGTGAGTCTAGCAAACAGAAAATTAACAAAACTTCAAGCAAAGATGAATCCTGTTGAAATATTTTAGACAATTGTTGATGTAAGCAGGTGAGTCTAGCAAACAGAAAATTAACAAAACTTCAAGCAAAGATGAATCCTGTTGAAATATTTTAGACAATTGTTGATGTAAGCAGGTGAGTCTAGCAAACAGAAAATTAACAAAACTTCAAGCAAAGATGAATCCTGTTGAAATATTTTAGACAATTGTTGATGTAAGCAGGTGAGTCTAGCAAACAGAAAATTAACAAAACTTCAAGCAAAGATGAATCCTGTTGAAATATTTTAGACAATTGTTGATGTAAGCAGGTGAGTCTAGCAAACAGAAAATTAACAAAACTTCAAGCAAAGATGAATCCTGTTGAAATATTTTAGACAATTGTTGATGTAAGCAGGTGAGTCTAGCAAACAGAAAATTAACAAAACTTCAAGCAAAGATGAATCCTGTTGAAATATTTTAGACAATTGTTGATGTAAGCAGGTGAGTCTAGCAAACAGAAAATTAACAAAACTTCAAGCAAAGATGAATCCTGTTGAAATATTTTAGACAATTGTTGATGTAAGCAGGTGAGTCTAGCAAACAGAAAATTAACAAAACTTCAAGCAAAGATGAATCCTGTTGAAATATTTTAGACAATTGTTGATGTAAGCAGGTGAGTCTAGCAAACAGAAAATTAACAAAACCTCAAGCAAAGATGAATCCTGTTGAAATATTTAAGACAATTGTTGATGTAAGCAGGTGAGTCTAGCAAACAGAAAATTAACAAAACTTCAAGGAAAGATGAATCCTGTTGAAATATTTTAGACAATTGTTGATGTAAGCAGGTGAGTCTAGCAAACAGAAAATTAACAAAACTTCAAGCAAAGATGAATCCTGTTGAAATATTTTAGACAATTGTTGATGTAAGCAGGTGAGTCTAGCAAACAGAAAATTAACAAAACTTCAAGCAAAGATGAATCCTGTTGAAATATTTTAGACAATTGTTGATGTAAGCAGGTGAGTCTAGCAAACAGAAAATTAACAAAACTTCAAGCAAAGATGAATCCTGTTGAAATATTTTAGACAATTGTTGATGTAAGCAGGTGAGTCTAGCAAACAGAAAATTAACAAAACTTCAAGCAAAGATGAATCCTGTTGAAATATTTTAGACAATTGTTGATGTAAGCAGGTGAGTCTAGCAAACAGAAAATTAACAAAACTTCAAGCAAAGATGAATCCTGTTGAAATATTTTAGACAATTGTTGATGTAAGCAGGTGAGTCTAGCAAACAGAAAATTAACAAAACTTCAAGCAAAGGTGAATCCTGTTGAAATATTTTAGACAATTGTTGATGTAAGCAGGTGAGTCTAGCAAACAGAAGAAAATGAACAAAACTTCAAGCAAAGACAAATCCTGCTTACAGTTTGTCCATAAAACACCTGGTCACTGAACTCCTCCTTAGCACAAGATCATGTTGGACTTTGGATAAGAGTATATGCTAACAAGTATATCAGTGCTCTTTCTTTGTCTAAAATATCTTATCCTATCTGTCAACATTCACTACTACTTCTCGGAAGAGAACCGGTTTCAGTACACCTCTTGGTAGATGCTGAAGATACTGGCTTCTCAATCAACCTGATCATGGATTCATGTGGCTTGGGAAGAATTACCAAATTCGCAAGGATTCAATTGGTAGATGATCCAGTAGAATATTTATTCCGCCAAACAGACATTAAAGGTCTTCTTGCTCCAGCCATAACTAACGATTGAATTAATTGAAATCAATTGTTAAAAACACTCCTCCTGTGCACCTGAATGCCACTTTTGATTGATTGACTAAGAAACCACATCCAGAACAAGCACTGATGATAATCTAATTCTGTTTAATCTATACAACTTTCTGTTATACAACACATCCTCTGTAGCTTTACGTGAAAAGAATATCTATCATTGTTGTCTTAGGGAATGGTTTTAAATCAAATGTTGAGAAACCGATCTGAATCTAAAGTTGAAATCTAAAAAAAGTGTCACCTGTTTCAGGAACTAGTATTTCTTGGGAAAGGTGGTGAACAGGATGTTTTTGTGAGTAATAAAACCTTTACTCTGATCTATGTGTAGTGACTGTACTAACTGTGATAGGGCTTGGAGACAATAGGAGACCTAGGGGGAAAAAACATTCTTTGGCCACATCGATTTTTGATGTTCAGACAGCTCTGGTAACACTTTAAGGAAGCATCCATGGATGAAAAACAAATCCACAGAGCAATTTCACAGCTATCAACTTGCTAATGAGGATATCAGTTCACTGATTTTGAAGTAGGATTGACATCAGAATGAGGAGTACAAACTTAGATCATGCAATCTGTTAAATGAACATGAGGGACCATGTCCTTAATACCAGAAATGGGTGTGAAGTACTACCATACATGGCACATTGTGTAGCAGTGCATAACACTCAGTGTAATCTACACTCAGTCAGCTCTTGAACCTATAATGTTATAGTTTGAATGTAAAATACACCTGTCATTCCCTGCATATTATAGACTACCTCCCAGTAATAGTACCGTACATAAGAAGTAGAAAGGAACAAAATAGTCTATGAGATCCATGAAGGATTTTGACACCAGCCATCACAAGATCTATGTTGTTTCTTTATAACTTGGATTTTCTCTATCCTTTCTCATCCTCCTATTTACTTAATGTTGAATATATTGAAAGGTGAATTGATCATAAGGTACCATCAATAAACAAGAGAAATTCAATTTCCATATGAAATTGACAAAATATCCATCTAGTGCATTAAGAAAAAAGTTTTTAAAATCTACAAATATCCTTATTCAAAATGACAACATGTCATTCAGTTGTGTTTTCAGTCAGTCTCAATATATTTTATACTAATATGTAAAATTTGAAAATATCCATCCAGTGTTTCCCAAATACTAACTTTCATAGTCTAATTCAACTGCTAGTCATCTTGACCTTTCATTAAGTCTCAAAAATCTAAACATAAAATATGCAGATAGGCAACACGTCACCAAGCGAAACTTTCATAGATGTTTTTTAGAAAGAACCTAACAGAACTTCTCAAGAAGTAGCAATAATACAAATAAGTGACCAAAATCCAAGCTTTCATTCAATCTTACTCTGCATAACAAATGACCAAAGGAAACCTTGCTCAGAAGTTTTAGAATGATCCACCTACATGGTCTCAAGGAAAGGAGATAACATAATCGAAGATGGCCACCTGTCGGTCATTCATTTCTCCTGATCAGTTTTATGAAGACACAAGACCACTAAGGACCAACAGGAACCTATGTATTTGAAATTTGTGAAAATCATGAAATAGTAGAAATAGCAATGTAGATTTTAACTAGCAAAAACTATCTTTTGCCAATTTGCTTTTCTATCTATTTAATAACTGGGTTATTTGGGACCAAAGAAACCTAAAAAAGAAATTCAGAATAAGCTCCATCCAGTACTTCTAGAATAGTGATAATTCTCAAAGTCAAAGAAAGGACCATGGGGAACCTACATACATGTGTGAAATTGGAGAAAGTTCTACCCTGACTAATGACAAAATAGAGATAACAAGAACAGTTTAGGAACCGAACATAGACAGAACGACAAAGCTGGACCATGATAAAGGATAGTTTAATTAGATAGACAGAACGACAAAGCTGGACCATGATAAAGGATAGTTTAATTAGATAGACAGAACGACAAACCTGTACCATGATAAAGGGTATTTTAATTAGATAGACAGAATGACTAAGTTGGACCATGATAAAGGATAGTTTAATTAGATAGACAGAACGACAAAGCTGGACCATGATAAAGGGTATTTTAATTAGATAGACAGAAAGACTAAGTTGGACCATGATAAAGGGTAGTTTAATTAGATAGACAGAACGACTAAGTTGGACCATAATAAATGGTAGTTTAATTAGATAGACAGAACGACTAAGTTGGACCATGATAAAGGATAGTTTAATTAGATAGACAGATCGACAAAGTTGGACCATGATAAAGGATAGTTTAATTAGATAGACAGAATGACTAAGCTGGACCATGATAAAGGATAGTTTAATTAGATAGACAGAACGACAAAGCTGGACCATGATAAAGGATAGTTTAATTAGATAGACATAACGACTAAGTTGGACCATGATAAAGGATAGTTTAATTTGATAGACAGAAAGACAAAGTTGGACCATGATAAAGGATAGTTTAATTAGATAGACAGAACGACTAAGCTGGACCATGATAAAGGGTAGTTTAATTAGATAGACAGAACGACTAAGTTGGACCATGATAAAGGATAGTTTAATTAGATAGACAGATCGACAAAGTTGGACCATGATAAAGGATAGTTTAATTTGATAGACAGAACAACAAAGCTGGACCATGATAAAGGATAGTTTAATTAGATAGACATAACGACAAAGCTGAACCATGATAAAGGGTAGTTTAATTAGATAGACAGAACGACTAAGTTGGACCATGATAAAGGGTAGTTTAATTAGATAGACAGAACGACTAAGTTGGACCATGATAAAGGATAGTTTAATTAGATAGACAGATCGACAAAGTTGGACCATGATAAAGGATAGTTTAATTAGATAGACAGAACGACAAAGTTGGACCATGATCGACAAAACCATGATAAAGGATAGTTTAATTAGATAGACAGAATGACTAAGCTGGACCATGATAAAGGATAGTTTAATTAGATAGACAGAACGACTAAGCTGGACCATGATAAAGGATAGTTTAATTAGATAGACAGAACGACAAAGCTGGACCATGATAAAGGATAGTTTAATTAGATAGACATAACGACAAAGCTGGACCATGATAAAGGATAGTTTAATTAGATAGACATAACGACAAAGCTGGACCATGATAAAGGATAGTTTAATTAGATAGACAGAACGACTAAGCTGGACCATGATAAAGGATAGTTTAATTAGATAGACATAACGACAAAGCTGGACCATGATAAAGGATAGTTTAATTAGATAGACATAACGACAAAGCTGGACCATGATAAAGGATAGTTTAATTAGATAGACATAACGACAAAGTTGGACCATGATAAAGGATAGTTTAATTAGATAGACAGAACGACTAAGCTGGACCATGATAAAGGATAGTTTAATTAGATAGACATAACGACAAAGCTGGACCATGATAAAGGATAGTTTAATTAGATAGACATAACGACAAAGCTGGACCATGATAAAGGATAGTTTAATTAGATAGACATAACGACAAAGCTGGACCATGATAAAGGATAGTTTAATTAGATAGACATAACGACAAAGCTGGACCATGATAAAGGGTATTTTAATTAGATAGACAGAACGACTAAGCTGGACCATGATAAAGGATAGTTTAATTAGATAGACAGAATGACTAAGCTGGACCATGATAAAGGATAGTTTAATTAGATAGACAGAATGACTAAGCTGGACCATGATAAAGGATAGTTTAATTAGATAGACAGAACGACTAAGCTGGACCATGATAAAGGATAGTTTAATTAGATAGACAGAATGACTAAGTTGGACCATGATAAAGGATAGTTTAATTAGATAGACAGATCGACAAAGTTGGACCATGATAAAGGATAGTTTAATTTGATAGACAGAACGACAAAGCTGGACCATGATAAAGGATAGTTTAATTAGATAGACATAACGACAAAGCTGGACCATGATAAAGGGTATTTTAATTAGATAGACATAACGACAAAGCTGGACCATGATAAAGGATAGTTTAATTAGATAGACATAACGACAAAGCTGGACCATGATAAAGGATAGTTTATTTATATAGACATAACGACAAAGCTGGACCATGATAAAGGATAGTTTAATTAGATAGACATAACGACAAAGCTGGACCATGATAAAGGATAGTTTAATTAGATAGACATAACGACAAAGCTGGACCATGATAAAGGATAGTTTAATTTGATAGACAGAACGACAAAGCTGGACCATGATAAAGGATAGTTTAATTAGATAGACATAACGACAAAGCTGGACCATGATAAAGGATAGTTTAATTAGATAGACATAACGACAAAGCTGGACCATGATAAAGGATAGTTTAATTAGATAGACATAACGACAAAGCTGGACCATGATAAAGGATAGTTTAATTTGATAGACAGAACGACAAAGCTGGACCATGATAAAGGATAGTTTAATTAGATAGACATAACGACAAAGCTGGACCATGATAAAGGATAGTTTAATTAGATAGACATAACGACAAAGCTGGACCATGATAAAGGATAGTTTAATTAGATAGACATAACGACAAAGCTGGACCATGATAAAGGATAGTTTAATTAGATAGACATAACGACAAAGCTGGACCATGATAAAGGATAGTTTAATTAGATAGACATAACGACAAAGCTGGACCATGATAAAGGATAGTTTAATTAGCCTTGAAATTGAATCATTTACAAATATCTGAATATAAGATACAGCAGCAAGCAAAGCCTAAATCCATTAACTTTTACAAAGTTTATACAAAACAGACAATATGTATAGATGGTAGTACGTATTTCTACAATATTCAGTTCTCGATCATTACATCTTATCAAATATCTATGTTGTCTATATATCTAAATCATTACGTCCAACAATAGAAGCTTACATACCTGTTGTTCCATAGTTGCTGTCTGGAAATCAGCATTCTTTTCTCTCAGGACTTTTTCCGCATCTGTAATTTATACCATTATTTAGATGTAGACTGACCGAGGAGTAATCCATGTTAGTGATATTGCATACGGTATATTTGGTAATATTGGTGGGGAATTTAATTTTGCTGTATCAGCTGTCTTTAAGGACAGCATAATATTTCATACAAAGAAAGTATTTCACAGTGAAACAAAATCTTAGCAAAAGTTATTAAAATCTGTACGTATGATCATTAATGTTCAGACATGCCAGAAAACCTGAAATAAAAGCTGGTGAACTCAAACAACTAGACTGTACAGTACAACTTTGTAGTCTTGAGATCACTGGGCCTATGGGGAAACTTCAGCCATCTGAGTATTCGAGTTAATCAAATCTGAATGTTTGGTATGAAGTTTGGGTGGTACCGAGGAGTTACCTTGAATTAAACAGGTTGTTCAAATTAAAATCATACACAACTTCAAAAAATGAGGTTCAGTTGTACATGGTGTTCAGAGTTTCTCAGCTAGTGTCATATTAAGAACAATATCAGGGATCACTTTATCAAAAATATACATGTAGATACCAAAATCAAAAATGTATAATGACCACTTTACCTTGAATATTCTTTAAAAGGAATAAGAAACAAACATTCATACTGTATTTGTAGGCATTAATTGATATAACTGCCAATTTCCAGTACATGTTTACTAAAGCACTTCCAAAACAACAATAAACTTTCCTAGATTGATCTAGTAATATCTTACTGTATAAATAATGCTATGAAATGATTGAGAGTCTAGAAACAAAACAAGAGTATCAGTGAAGCTGATGAATGCTCCCCAAAACAACTTTATTGGACACAAAACTTAAACAAAGAGCAATAATTCTGTAATTAAGGAGTTGCAGGCCCTGAATTTGGTATACTGCACATTATTTTAGTATGACGAATGTGTACACCAAGTTTCATGATCCTTGTTTTAATGCAAGCAAAGCAATACTCATGACACAAAATTTTAACAACCGGCTATAGCTCTTTAACTGAGTGGGTCATGGGCTCTGATTTTGTTACACTGCACTTTGCTTTTGTGTGACTGATGTTTATATCACATTTCAATATCCTAGTTTAAATGTTGGCAAAGTAATGTTCCAGACAAAAAATTTTGAAAGGGCATATTGTCTCGATATGATAACATTGTCTTGATATGATCATATTGTCTTAATATGATCAATGTAAACACCAAGATTTATTATCTCAGCTTAAATGCAAACAAAGTTATGCTCTGGACATGAGAGGATGGATGGAAAGATGGACGGACGGACTGACAAGGTGGCGACTATATGCTCCTCTGAAAATTTGCTGGGACCATAAACAACAGATCAGTGAAAGCTTTCAAGGAAATATGAAAGATGGCAGAAAAATATAATGTATTTGTATTAAGTACAGAAGCAGGTATAGATATTTTCTAATAGCTTAGGAAATGTGATTCATAAGTAAAACTAAAGTCTGTCCTTTTCTTTACAATTCTCAATTATGTCTTCTAAGAGTTTTTATGACCCTGACTATAAAAAAAAATACATACCTGTTTTACTTTTACAGGTGACAAGCACTTCATTGACTTTGTTTCTATATGGCCATGCTATTCCAAATGGTCTAACCCCTAAGTCACGTTCAAGCCAATTCCTCACATCGGTCCTAGTGTGTTGCGATTGGATGACAACACAACTTTCCATCACTGAGGTCGGCTTTATATAATGTGTGACTCCTGAATCACTGCAAATATCGTCACCAAATATTATTGTAAATTAAAGTCTTTTACCAACTTAACCATTATATACATGTATACAGAATATACAGCAACATGGTATGTACTGAAATTTTACTGATTTTTCTGATAAATGTCATTCCAAAGATTTTTCTCCATTTATGTTTATATGTCCAAACCAATGAGACAATTGTCATTTATACCAAATAGAATTCTAACTGTAAATAAATCTAGGTTCATTTGGGTCGGGATTAACACTGTGAAAACTGTATCAAGTAATTAACTGATCACTTCACTTTCTCATGACTGTTTCTTACCTTCTGCTAGCCTTCAGTGTCATATCCATAGCTTCAGCAATGTCTTCTACAAAAAATAATCATAAAATGACAACTTATTATTACTAATTAAAAGAATTTCTTGTTATTTTATTTATCCTGCAATAAGTAACCTTGACCTTTGACCTGATGATTTACCATTTGATTTTGATTCATAATGCTTCATATCTTATGACAAAACATCTACAATGCAAGGGTAACAAAATTTTACTTTGACCTTGAACTTTTGGTAACCTTTGCTTCTGGTAAACTGTTCATCATAACAATATAACACAGTATTCACCAGTGAAATATTTCAAGTTTGAACTTGACCTCTGACCAGAAAACCTTCACTAGTTGTCAGCTTACTTCACGCCTCTAAACAAGAAACTTGGTTTATAACAAGCAGTATTTGGTAACACTTTATTTTAAGTAACACTGACCTCCAGCTGATAGTTTCAGTAATGCCATAACACTGCAATGTTTATGCATTTACATATATATTTAGTTTCAGTAAAATATCTTAAATGCTTAAGACTTATCATTTGAAAACACCATCCTGAAAATTTTGCTTCCTATCACCTAATTTCTGGTCACGCTATATGAGCATTATATTGTAAAAGTAGAGGAGCCTCAGAGTTGCATGAGGACAAGCTCAATGATGCAATAGTTATGGCTGGACAAGATTATATTGAAATGTGTAGTTTCATTTTGACATTGAAGTAAACAGTAACTGAATAATATATACTCACCTTGCTCATCTTGAAGAGAAATCTCACCACGTCCAGACCTTCTGGTTTCAGGTCTAGTTTTCTGGACAGGTTCCAGATCTCCAGTGCCATTATCCACTTTGTCGTGGTCAGGTTTACGTACATCATCTCTCAGAATATTATCAATTTTTGAAACCAGAATCATCTTATCGGCAGCACTGCATGTAACTCTAAAGTACACTCTATGCTGAGGTGTAGTTTGTTCTCCTTCAACAACACAACCTGATATTGTATTACAGCTAATTTTTTATTTGTCTCAAATCCTTAAGGAGAACAGTAAATTTTATTTTTAGTTTAGAAGGTCATCTTGAAGTAATTACGACTTATAAATGAAAAAAAGTCATCTTGTAGAAATTCCAATTAACAAAAAAAATTTAAAAAAAAGAAAAGAACAGCTTTCATACACATTTTAAAACCAAATGGACTACTGAAAAATAATGTGTAATTCCTCATACAACATTCCTTAAGTCACAAAACTGAAAATTCTGTTTGTTTCTGTAGCAGGTTTTTACACCTGCTATACAAAATGGGGATGTTCACAAATTGTATACATGTACTTACATATACTATAGTAGGAACTAAAAGTCTTAATGAAAGATAATGTAATAATTATCAAGTTGTAAAAGAATTGTTGCAGAATAGATTTAATTGACACTAATAAAGATATGAGAGAAAGTGGAAACAGTGTTTTAAATCAGGTACTTACTGATGTTGACTGGCTGAGTCTTTGGCCAAGGGTCAACAGAAGATTCACCAACTGAAATTTAAAATAGAATGTCAGTCATCAGTTTGAAGTATTAGAAATATTAAAATATTTACAAATATCAGTAGATTTTTATCAAATTGTTTCCTCATAATTTTCTGTGTATGCAATCAAATGATGTAAATAACCAGAGAATGTAAAGGAGACCACCAATGTAATTATTTGATTACCTGGTATTTCTTTTATCCTTAGATATCGAACGAGCAGAAAATCTTTTCAAAGTGTCTTATTAGTACAGGTATGTCACATAGACAAATCAGTTCATAATAAATCTGTTATCAAGATATAAGAAATAAAAGATGAAATTTGCAGGTACTGTTAATCTTTGCTGAAGTTCATATTTCATACCCATAATTGACTTTTCTTCTTCTGTGAAATTCTGAAACAGAGAAGAAATTGCTAATGGGATAATATCTAAAACTTTTAATGACAGTCTCTTAATGCTAGAGTGACATCCCTTTATGCTAGAGTGGCAGTCTCTTAATGCTAGAGTGACATCCCTTTATGCTAGAGTGGCAGTCTCTTAATGCTAGAGTGACATCCCTTTATGCTAGAGTGGCTGTCTCTTAATGTTAGAGTGACATCCCTTTATGCTAGAGTGGCAGTCTCTTAATGCTAATGTGACAGTCTCTTAATACTAGAGTGACAGTCTCTTCATGCTAGAATGACAGTCTCTTCATGCTTGAATGACAGTCTCTTAATGCTAATGTGATAGTGTTTTAATGCCAAAAGGAGGGTATTTTAACTCTAACGTCTTTGCATCTTAATTCTAAAGTGAAAGTATGTTCATTCTAAACTGCTAATTTTCTTCAGCTTAAATGCCAGTATCTTTATGCTAATGTGATAGTATCTTAATTCCAATCAATGCTAAAGTGCCCTATGTATATCAATGTTTAAGTGCCCTTTGTATATCAATGCTTAAGTGCCCTATGTATATCACTGCTAAAGTGCCCTATGTATATCACTGCTAAAGTGCCCTACTTATATCAATGCTTAAGTGCCCTACTTATATCACTGCTCAAGTGCCCTATGTATATCAATGTTTAAGTGCCCTTTGTATATCAATGCTTAAGTGCCCTATGTATATCACTGCTAAAGTGCCCTATGTCTATCACTGCTAAAGTGCCCTACTGATATCAATGCTTAAGTTCCCTACTTATATCACTGCTTAAGTGCCCTACTTATATCACTGCTAAAGTGCCCTACTTATATCAATGTTTAAGTGCCCTATGTATATCAATGCTTAAGTGCCCTATGTATATCACTGCTAAAATGCCCTATGTATATCAAAGCTAAAGTGCCCGATGTATATCAATGCTTAAGTGCCCTATGTATATCAATGTTTAAGTGCCCTACATATATCACTGCTAAAGTGCCCTATGTATATCACTGCTAAAGTGCCCTACTTATATCAATGCTTAAGTGCCCTACTTATATCACTGCTAAAGTGCCCTATGTATATCACTGCTAAAGTGCCCTATGTCTATCACTGCTTAAGTGCCCTACTTATATCACTGCTAAAGTGCCCTACTTATATCAATGTTTAAGTGCCCTATGTATATCAATGCTTAAGTGCCCTATGTATATCACTGCTAAAGTGCCCTATGTATATCACTGCTAAAGTGCCCTACTTATATCAATGCTCAAGTGCCCTATGTATATCAATGTTTAAGTGCCCTTTGTATATCAATGCTTAAGTGCCCTATGTTTATCACTGCTAAAGTGCCCTATGTCTATCACTGCTAAAGTGCCCTACTGATATCAATTCTTAAGTGCCCTACTTATATCACTGCTTAAGTGCCCTACTTATATCACTGCTAAAGTGCCCTACTTATATCAATGTTTAAGTGCCCTATGTATATCAATGCTTAAGTGCCCTATGTATATCACTGCTAAAATGCCCTATGTATATCAAAGCTAAAGTGCCCGATGTATATCAATGCTTAAGTGCCCTATGTATATCAATGTTTAAGTGCCCTACATATATCACTGCTAAAGTGCCCTATGTATATCACTGCTAAAGTGCCCTACTTATATCAATGCTTAAGTGCCTACTTATATCACTGCTAAAGTGCCCTATGTATATCACTGCTAAAGTGCCCTATGTCTATCACTGCTTAAGTGCCCTACTGATATCAATGCTTAAGTGCCCTACTTATATCAATGCTAAAGTGCCCTACTTATATCAATGCTAAAGTGCCCTATGTATATCAATGTTTAAGTGCCCTTTGTATATCAATGCTTAAGTGCCCTATGTATATCACTGCTAAAATGCCCTATGTATATCACTGCTAAAGTGCTCTATGTATATCAAAGCTAAAGTGCCCTATGCATATCAATGCTTAAGTGCTCTATGTATATCACTGCTAAAATGCCCGTAACATAGTGCTAAAGTCATAGTGATTTAATATCAGTGTGACAGTTTCTCAAATCTGAAGTGACAATATCTAAGTGCTAATAAGATAGTACCTTAATTATCCTAAAGCAACAGATATGACATGCTTAAGGGACAGTTTTCTGAATGCTTCAATGACAAGTATCTTACCACTAAATTGTCCAAATTATTTTGATATCATATGGGCTATTTGACAAAAGTTTAGAGTTGACTCAAACAGTCAAATCAATTAGGACTAAGTACTTAAGTGAGATGTTCTCATCAATTTCTGGTGTGAAAGCATCTTCCAGTTTAAGAAACCTACTGCAAAGGTCTGTGTGTCCCTTGGATAGACGACAATGCTGATTTTCTTCAAATGACTTGGGTTAGACTCCACCATGAAGCATTTAATTTTTTGGAGCATCTCCTTGGCCACCACAGATGAAGGGTAATTTAAGTTACCGGTCCCAATGGCAGGAAATGATATAGAATTCATGCCTAATTCATTAGCTCGCTCCAGGCATTTTGTCACGAACTTCCCTACCATCTAAAATGAAAAGAATGAATAAACTTTAACAGCACTAAGTGACTTGTATAGTGTTAAGATACTTGAGTGTCTGAAAGTATTGGGATGAAGTGACCCATATTTTGCTGCTGAATTTGTCTACAAGTATTCAGTTACCTTAGAATTTACAATCATAACACTATTGTGATAGCATTTTTGGCCGCAATAGTCACCCTTGCAGGCCCTGAATTTGATATATTGCACATCCTCTTTTTATAACCAATGTATACATCGTGTTTTGTTATCCTAGTTTAATTGCACACCAAGTTATGATCCCTACACAAAACTTTAACAAAGGGCAATAACTCTGTTATGAAGGATTTGCAAACCCAAACATTGATGCACTGCACTTGTTTGGTCAATGTAAACGCAAAGTTTCATTATCCTAGCTTAAATGAAAGCAAGTTACACTCTCAACAAGAAATGTAAACAAAGAGGAATAACTCTGTAATCAAGGCCCTGAATTTGGTACAATACACATCATCTTTGTATGATCAATGTATACACCAAGTTTCATTATTCTAGTTGAAACAAGAATACTGACAGGTCAGCAAGGCCCCACTATGTGGCTTGATTGTTTTATTTTCATTTTTAACTGATTTTAATTTATAGTTACAGTGACAAATGACAAATGACAAATGACCCTTGACAATCTATCTCAAACAAGCACTTTTGGTTAAGAAGCATTGCATCAAGTTTGAGTTAGATTGGCTACAGCAAACTCAAGTTGTTCCAAAAAATGGATTTTCCATTACTGCAACAACAACCTCAACCTTTGACATCTTTGGTCTGAAAAGTAACCCCTTGCAAGCACTTTTGGTTAAGAAGAATAAATTCAGGTTTGAGTAAGAATGGCTGTAACAAACTGAAGTTATTATGAAAATGTTTTTTCCATTATGGTAACAACAACCTCAACCTTTGACTTCTTGGTCTGAAAAGTAATTCCTAGCAAGCAGATTCAGTAGGAAAGCATTGTATGAATTTGGAGTTTGACTGGTCCAAGGGAACCCAAGTTATATCACAGAAACCAATTTTCTACTTAGAGTAACAGTAATCTGGACCATTGACCCTGGGACCTGTAAAGCAATCCAAAGCAAGCCATCTGTGTAAGGAAAGTTTGCGTCTGATTGGCCAAAGAAAACTTGTTATTGCAGAGAAACTGATTTTTCTATTTATAGTAACAGTGACCTTGGCCTTTCAAGATGAAAAGCAATCCCATACAAGCACTTTCAATAAGGAAGCACTGTATTAAGTTTGAAGTTATTGCACGGAAACAAAAGTGTAGACGGACTGATGAACCTTACATCAGGTTAAAACGTAGTCAGACTTTGATGCTGTACAGACCCTGTACACATAATACTTAAGGACTAAAATACTTTTAATTTTAAAATGTTAAGTACCTGGTATATCACTGATCATCAATGAAATCATGATTCAATATTGGATGTGTAACAAATAGAGAATGTAGAGTGTATCAAGTCTAACCTCTGTTTTCTTTGTTTGGTTCTTATCAAGTGAGGGCCAAACATCAAATGCTCCATGGAACACTTTTCTGCAAAGGAGCTGGTGCCCATCAGTGACTGCTAATTCACCAAACTTGATGCCATTCGCATATTTTTTCCTGCATTCCTTTTGTAACTTTGGCCCTGCCCTTTGAGACAATGAATTAGAAACAGTACCACTGGAAAGATCCAAGCATTTGCTTGTGGTGTTCACAATGACATCCGCCTTCAGGAAAAAAGAAATTATATTATATTCAATGACTTTGCAAATAGAACTTGAAGTTGATCAATAACTAAAATGATACCTAGACATTAACTGCCATTAGACATATCATTCTTACTTACTGTATAGTGTTAGGAATTTCTGTATTACCATTACAAGCTATGAAAGGGCTCACATTTTAAATGATGGTTATTTTCTCCCTTGTATTACATCTTTATCAAATATGGTAAAGATTGTGACAGCTGATGTTATCTTACTTCATAAATGGCAATTTATTGGATTCATAATGTCAACATTAAGAATATCAAAAAAGGAAAATATTTCTAGAAATAATCAATCACTCCATTGTGATGTAAACAGAATTTTTGTAAGATAACACATAACCCAAGTTTTAAAGCTATTTACATCTATGTTTCATTACCTCAAAATCTTGAAAACAGGAAATCAGTTCTTGAAATTAATCTGTTAGATGATTGAAGGATCAACCTGCGCTATTTAGGGAGATACAAGAAAACGACCCTGTTAATTGTGTACCCAAATCCATATGCAAATCCCAATTCAAATATAGTAAAACCTGCCTAAAACGTCCCATCTACATCACAAATATCTATCTTTAAAGCATCGCTTTATAAAGACTTGTGATTGTCCTTATAAACAGATCTAGACATATTGATGGAGCCGCTGTGATATCTTCGTTGATAGTGTTTTAAAGCTTTACATACCTGTTCTTTAGTAATATCTCCCTTCAAAACCAAAAGCTGTATAGGGTTACGGCCCCTGCTGCGTTGTAGACCTAAGTAAACAAAGAAATAAGGATAACGAGCTTCAGTTAATATTTCTTATAACAGAAAAAATCTTCATTCATGTAATTAAATGAGTTTCAACAAGGAACATCTTTAGCTTCATAAGATTTCTCCTCTTGGAATAAATCTTTCCATAAAAGGGAAGTGAAAAATATTGAAAAAAAAACAGATGTACACCTGAAGACTCTGTTATTGAGCATGCAGATTGGTAATCCTCCATCGGAACAGCCAGTATGATGTCCCTTAGACTAGTATCAAGAGAGCACAGCTCTTTCATGGCTTGTAATGCCACTTTTAGGAACTTTGAAAATGACCAATCACAACAGTTATGTAGGTCAACAGCTACTGAGTTGACTCCCTCCAATCGTTTAAACACTTGTGTGATTGAGGCAGCTAAGTCGTGTTTAGCCTTGCCCATGCCAGGATGTGGAACAAAAATGGTTGCTTGTTGAGCTGCTTCTGGAAAGGACATTGAACTGCATCTTACATGTCATTATGACATGTTTTATTTTTCAATATCAGAGCTATTAATTAAGAATTGTACAATATATGTGCTATACTGATGTTCTGAGAGTTTTGTTACGATTTTTGTCATTAACAGATAACTGAAAGCTTCATTGTATAATCCTATTCCATTTTGTTAACATGTTTAATAAAACTTATAAACAAATTCATTTGTATTATGTGTACAACACATCTTTAACAATAATGCTTTAAAACAAATACCATAAAATACGTCAATTTTAATGGAATCATATGATCATGGAATACATCAAGTTAACGAGACTTTCATGAATGTTTGAAATCATGTTGCCAACTGAAAAAATGTCTTCAGGAAAGGATCGACAGCAAATTTTTTTCACTATAATCATATGATAGCATACCTGCAAGTGGTGAATGAATCGGCAACATATTTACAGTAACAGATGCTGCTATGTTGTTGACGGGGCTTGTGACAAATCCAAGTTGAGCTTGACCACACGTCCACCATTCTGTTGGAATGACTGTCTTTTTGTCGGAGAAATTGTCAAAGGTCAATTGGTCATCCCTTGGCTGGTCAGAGTCTGTACTGTGAGTGGCAATCACACATCTGTTCACCATTTCGAGGTCCCTGACTTTTTCTATGTGGATCTGTGGGATAGATAATTCCACATTCGGATGCTGAAAGGATGTGATGTCATTTAAAGACGTTTGTATGTTAGCTTGAGCAGTATTTACTCTGTCTGCTGGCCCGTTGATTTGAATGACAACCCGATCAGGAGAAACATCTTGGAATGACATATCCACTTTCAAAGAGTTTCTCATTTGCAACATGTCATCTTTCACATATTTATTGAAGAATCTGATTTGGTCATACCCTTCTATGTGGACACTGCTGGTTACATTTGTCACTTTGGCTGATGACAATTTCCGTCCACCTAATACCTCAATAGTTTCTGAGACCTGAGGCAAAATGTCATCGGTGACATACACATATGTCATTTGTACTGTGTCATCAACCGACCAGCACAATTTACCTCTGAACTGTGTTTTCATTATTTGTAGCCTTTTATGTTGTTCTGTTCTTGTTGCTTTTAGGTCCAATACTTTTATACTTGACTTGATCAAGGCTGCTACCTTCTCAGTAACATCTTGGCTGTCTGCTAACACCAGAAGTTCGGGAGCAATAGTGCTTTTCTTTACCATCCAATGACAGGTAATGTTACTTAGTTTGTGATTATTTATGTAGTTCTTCACCTCACCATGTGATAACAGTTCATACTCGCCTTTGCATAGAGAGATTAAAGCTTGTTCAGATGACATTTCAAGGGCATGCTCTACGTACCACTGGTCTTTAACACTGTCTGATTTGTGGTGAATATCAACAACCACATAGGTATGGCCATCGTCTTCATTTGCATGGATGTCAAGGATACCAGCCTTCTCCAATCCGTGGTCAGCTCCTGTGATATGTCTGCACCACTTGGTCCACTGGTGAGGCATTTGTATAACCTTCACATCTCTCATCAAATCCGTATTCAGAAGGCAGTTGTGATCATTCTGACTTTGAATGTTGTACAAGGTACTTCCGATATTTGCTGTTCCTAAAACCAGGTATGTTTCAGGGATCTTAGTGGGTGTGACTTTGACATTGGCATAGGTCAGTCTCTTCGTGGACTCAATAGTTGACTCTTTGGTAATGTTGTCCAGGTTACATAAATAGGCTGACACTTCACCAACTGTTTCAAATACAGCGCGAATGGTTTCTTCCCACCAACTGCGATACTCTTCATCTGACCTGAAGGGTTGTCCGCAGTTTGAAATGGACATGTTTGTTTTCAAATCATCAAAAATGACTTCAGTATCAGGTGGTAATTTAGCCTTTAAGACAGATGACAACCGAAAGCTGTTGAACAAAAATCTCACTTTTTCAACTTTTATCCATTCTTTTACAATAGCATGTTGGTCTTTTCGTACTTTGGGTTTCCCATCTTCATACTCGTTCCACTGACGTAAGACATAAATTGTGACAGATTCATTATACCATTCTATTGCTGGCCCACTGTTCTCTGATGCTGTACCTATAATGTGATCAAAAAGTTAGAGTCAATCTTCTACAAATCAAATGCTTACCAAATTCCACTTCACCTTTCATGGAAAAAAGTATCTAATGAGTATTTAGTGGTATCTGTTAAATATCTTACATACTTTTGTCATTTAAAAAAAAAAAAGGACTTTTAACATTTATCATGATAATACGTTTTGGCAAACCCCTATAACCCTTCATACAAACATACCACTGGCAAAATCTATCTCTATCCATTCATCTTCCTGTAACCTTAGCTGTTATAAGGACTTTAAGCACCACACAAATTACAAAAGTTATTTAAAGGCTGAAATAAATCAGATTTCCCCTCTTTCCCGAGTTATACACATAGCACCTGTAGGGGCTTGCTTCAAAATTATCAGAGTGATACCCTATCACATGTTTCCCCATCCCCTTAATTCATCACGATTTTGCCCTTTACTGACCAAAAACAAAGGCCACCCCTTTAACAAATTTGATCCCACCACCGAAACAACCTTCTAATCAACTTTCTTCAAAGTGTTACAAGTGCAGTTTTTCTAGAAAAGGAAATATGTAAGAGAAAAATATTCTTTTGAAATTTGTTCTTGTTGTGAAATTTAGTAGTGCATTCAATCGTATTGTAAATAAAGCCTACCATCATGGTCTCGTTGCAACTGAACTTGAGCAGTTTTCTCGGTTGGATCTAAGGTCAAAGTGGAGTCGTCATCTTCCTCTTCATGGCTGAAGACTTGCTCTACATGTTCTGCAATAGAAGTAAACAAGTTATTGTGGTTGTCGTATACATAAACATTCAATAAAATGTGGAATGGTAGACAGATACCTGTATATATATTCAATATTTGAATACAGTAGCAGACAGTGAACGTCACCTTGTTACCATGTAGTTTTTCCTTAACCCTTCTGAACTTTTTGATAACGTAATATTGTTATTATCTCAATTCTTGGCATTGATGTCATTGTTGTATTACTGATGGGATGTCATTGCATAACACAACTGTTGACATCATAAATAGTCACGACAATGGAATTCCCTGTCTAAAGGAGCAAGGATACACCTGTCCAGGGTAAGAGGAAGTGTACATTTTTCTACTTGTTCTAGCTGTTCTTCCATCTACTTTGTACTTACCCATTCTTGACCTTTGGGTTTGCTGGAATCTTTCATCATTGGTATCCATACTGGGTGTTCTATCAGATTTCACAGGACCTTCATTCTTAGAGTTTCTGTTGATATTGCAAGCCTCTAAATCATGCTGGGTCAAGTTTTCTTCAGTTTCCAACTCTGATGGTGCAGTATCTTGGAAATGTTTAGTGTGCTCTTGATCCAGCCCTTCCTCGTCCTTTTGTTTGTGTAAGGTGTTTGCTTTTAAGTCGTCCAAATGTCCTGACAGACTTTTTTCTTGTGCTGTTTCTGTTTGTCCCTCAGCTGATGTGGTATCTTGTTGCTTGAAAACCCATGTGTTCTCATCTACACAGGTTTTAGTACTTTCAGTACCCTCTGCTGCGTCTTGTACATGATATGTTGAGCCAGTTTGGTGCTTCTCTTCTTCTTCAATGCAGAATGGTCGGTTGTCAAAGTCACTCTGTGGCTGATTTCTGCTCAAGTTTTCATCAACCTTCTTCCCATCTTTAAAGGAGATTTCCTTCAAGGGCTTTAAGGATTCATTTTCTAAACAATCTTCATCAAATTGTATGAGAGGTTGAACTTCAGTTCTATTTATGGAGCTAGCCACTGGTTCATCTAATGGTACACTTGGAAGTGAGGCTATCACATCGTTTTCTTCTTGTTCATCTAGCGCCACAGAGACTTGCCGATCTCCATACTCTTGTAAGCCTAAAGAGCTATGTATTTGACTATCACCCAATCTGGGTGACTCTTTCCTGTCACATTCTGTTTCAGACCCATGAACATTGATCTGATCTCTATTCTCCATCATCTCTCCATCCAAGGTGGATCTGCCAACTTTGTCAGTGTCTAATTTACCTGATAAATATTCATAAGGTTGATCGCCACCTGATGAATATTCATCAACTTGTAAACTTTTCATTGATCCTGATCTTCCATTGTCATCAATGATTACAAAACTTCTCATTGATATACTACTCCCTGATGACAATGACGGATATTGGGATTCTCCATGACTTTCTACGTGAATTTCTCTGCTGAAACAATCAGGTTCACTTGTTCCAAACAGTTTCCTATCCACGTCACTCCCTTCAGTTTGGGAAGAGTTGGGGTTTAGGTTTCCAAACTGTGTGTCCACTTCAATAGAACTAGCATCTAGTTCTGGTTCATTTTCTGCTTCAATCTTTTTAATTGAGGCATATAAATCTATCTTGTGTCCTTCAATATCCACCATTGTTCCAGCGATATATTCTTGATCAGGTTCTAGTTGATCTGTTTCATTTTCTGCTGTTTCATCTGTCTCCTGTGGGCTGAATGCTTTCAGTTTCAGTTTCTTTGCATTTTTCTCCCCACCAAAAGCTTGTTCTATCCCTGATAAATCTACGCTGGGAAAGGTGAAATTGGACTGCAGCTGGTTTAATTCTTCCTCTGAATCAAGGTATTTATCAGACACTGACTCTGATAAAATGGCAAAGCTCTCAGTGGACATACAGGATCCCTCAAGGCTGTTGTTAAGCTGACACTTGTTGTCCAAAGCTTGATTTTCTTGCTGTTGATATCCACCAGCTGGTTGTTCGTCCATGTT